AAAATCGGCTTTCGAGCAGAACTTCTACCCCCATAGGGTATATGTGTACAAAATATGAACAAAATCGGGCGAATGGTATTTGAGTTATTGCCCGGACGGACGGACGTACGGACGGACGTACGGACGGAGGCGTTCCCTATATCCCTCCGAACTTCGTTCGATGGGATAATTAAGGCTATAATAACATATGGCAAAAACCTGTGTAGTGAACACCTCTCTCTAGTGAACACCCCAGTTGAGGGAACACCACTTAAAGACACATTTTACATCGACTCCTGTATAAAAAACCCGCTCTTTAGTGAGCACCTAACCTACAGTGAACACTTTTGCAGCTGCTAAGTGTTCGTTACATACAGATTTTACTGTACATGTATCTTATTAGCTGATATAAAATGAAAGATCAGTTAAAAGCCTGACAAAATACTTTTTTTCAAAACACTTATCTTTGGCTTGTAAGAAGGACTTCATGTATATTGTTCTATCGAGCTGAAAGTGAAAAGATTCACCGCAGCAGCATGATAGATCATATGTCCAGAGAACTGAGCATAAGACAGATATATTCACTGTTAAGTTGTTAGCCTTTTGATGGGATCTTTAAGTACTTCATTTATCTATTTCCTTCTATTCTTTGCTTCAGCTGATCTTCCAATTCTTCAATATGCACTTGGTACAGTAAAACATGTCGAATCTGAAAGTCATTGACGCTGGCCAAAAGTCTTCGGAAAACAAGGTGTTCACATTTTGAGGTTTTGTAACATGGAAGTCTGTGGAAAATTTTTTAAAAATGAACTGAAAAAAACGTTCATTTCAAGAAATGGTTAGATAGGAGAGTTGGATACAGGTTTAAATGTATTTGGATCCGAGACAATCATTTTGTTATATTTTCATGAGACATTATGCAGTGATCTCCCCAGCATTAAAGCAAGTAGGTGCAACACTCACTTGAGATTTTGAAAATAGGCTTGCACACACCTGAAAATCCATTTGCACCCACTTGAAAATGAGAAAAATCATGAAAAATTGTCATCTTTTGACCAATTTTGGTCTTAATTGTGAAAATGAGAATTTTGGTTCCACCTGAGGAAAAATTCCGAGGAGATCACTCACTGCAATGTAAAGAACATCAATTCTGTAAGGAACAACAACTAGACATATATTCAAATATACAAGTTTATCTGTATTTGGATAAGTAAGAGAATTTAATTGTCTATAACATCAATTCTGTGAGATTAGACTCTATATAGATATAGATGATAAAAACAGGCAAGGCATGGCAACTGCTTTAGCAAAAATTTATAGAAATATATATATCATTTTAATGCATTTTTTGGTTGTCACCAAAATTCTCCCTTCGATCCTTGAATGACAAATGTCAAATTGATCAAATTCAGAGATAGTAAATAGCCCTTCAATTTTTCTTTAATTTGAGAATATTTCAATTTTAATTCATTCTTTGTCCCATCTACTCTAAAATTACGTTTAATGTTCATACTTTACTCTTGGAAAACCATGGATTTTTACATTTATGCATTCAATTTTCTATAATTCATCAATTGTAACTGTTTTGTCAAACTTGACACTAATATGACTCTCAATACTTATTAATTGCTATAATATATCAGAAAATTATTTAAACTGACAAGGCTTATATGTAATATTAGTTTGCAAATTGCAAAAATATTTTATTTGTCTTTCTTGACTAATAAGTTTCAAATAAGTCCATAAGTGTCTAACATGAAAATCATGTAATTCTTAACTAATGAAAGGAAGCATCTGAGACTTGAATATGCTATAACTGGAAAACCTTGGTCTGTCTACTCCCGATCTACCATAAGTGTAGCCAGACTTGAGGCAAGTGAGGCCACTGCCTCACTAAAATGTTAATAAATATAAATTAGACATTTCATAAATATATATTAGACATTTCATAAATATAAATCAGACATTTCATAAATATATATCAGAAATTTCATAAATACATATCAGAAATTTCATAAATATATATCAGACATTTCATAAATATATATCAGACATTTCATAAATATATATCAGAAATTTCATGAACTAAATGAAACTAAATGAAGTAATAGTAGTAATGTGCCTCACTTAGCTTAATATGCCTCAACTATAGAATATTTGCCTCAGTTAGATCCTGGCTAGCAAGCCCATTCCCATTTCTTCCCCCAGGGACTATCTTAATAACAACACCCCGATATCTTGATAATTTTGTTCGAAGAGGAAACAATTCCAGTACAGTCTTAATAGGTCACTGGAGAATAGTAAATTTAAAATTCATTGTTATATACCCAGGAGGAATGTATAAATATACCTTACTTTGCAAGAAATTTAAATTACAAATTATTTTTGGTGAAGTCAAATCGATCATGATGTTCAATTTTGTAATAAAAACTGCTGGTCTTTTCAATTTTTAAACTGCCTTACATATTAAACTACCTTGAGGGTAGAACTTAGTAGATGATTAACTCTTAAAAAAGCACAACCTAACTCCTGTAAAACCAGTCTTATCTGAGCATGGCCAACTGACCAAAAGTGATCATATTAGCAGGTGTTCACATTTCAATGCTTCTGAATACAGGGTGACAATACTCTGAATACAGGGTGACAATACTCTGAATACAGGGTGACAATACTCTGAATACAGGGTGACAATACTCTGAATACAGGGTGACAATACTCTGGTTACAAGGTGACAATACTCTGAATACAGGGTGACAATACTCTGAATACAGGGTGACAATACTCTATATACACGCAAAAAATCATGAAGATTCCCCCATTATTGAGAAAGTTATTCCAAAATTAGTAGGTGGCATTTTTTGTGTCACCCTCTATGTGAATCAAGGGGAGAATTTGGATATGATTTGGACCAAATAAAAGTATTCATAATGAGAGGTGTTCAGATAAAAAAAGATGTTCAGAAATTCAGGGTTTTCTGTATTGGAGATTGTGGGTAAGTTAACCTTAGTAATCGTCACATAAAATAACTTCAATTTAAACACGTTATATTCATTGCTGTATAGTAACTGTCGTTTCCTGTCAGATTTCGAGATAGTAGGGTACGACCCCGAAACTGACAAAACCGTAATAACATAAATCTCTGGCATGACTATTGCACCACGGTGCCACTTTAACATCAATCTAAGACCACCTAAAATACAACATGGCCACAATTATTTCAGCAACATATTAAAATAGACAATTATGAAAAAGTGACTAAACAAGCTGACATGACACGAACCTCAAATTATACATATAAATGCAAAACTGTGAATTTTGGGGGATTTTGGAAGACGATATTTGGTATTATAAGCAGTGGCCCTATGGTATTATATGTTCAGGGTAAGCGATCTAAAATCACCTTTGTAGCCCCGTGGGAATTCAACCATAGCACCCAATAAAGGCAACATTGATTAGACGCTTTATTAGTCCAATGATAGATGCAATAAGGCTAAGGCAACCACAGTTAACTTTGTTCCGAATTCTCGATGTTTTCTTCATAACACATTAAGGCCAAGTGTCAGATAATTATTTTGTCCCTTTGCCAAATATAGCAATATATAAATAAATATAGTCAAATATAGCTATAAACATTTAACTGTAGACAAATATTGTCATATATAGTATGTTCAATTATAGCCAAATAGTAAATATAGCTAAATGTATAGTAAAATGAAGTCAGACGAGCCAAAAGCAGACAAAGTGCATAATAGTCAAATATACATGCATACTATATTGCTAAACATAGTCAAATATAGTCACATATAGCAAAATAGAGTCAAATATAACCAAATTTATCTTAGAACATAGTCAAACTAATATCAGTGTAAATCAAACTTCTTATAAAAAAACACAACATGACCATACAATAATCTTGAAACATATACTTCTCAATTGGCGCCTTTGGCCGGGTGCATTCAATTACTATAATTGGCCTATATAATGCTCTATCAATAGAGTATAATGTTACATCTTCAATCTCTTTAATGGGAGTTAATACAAACAAGTAGTATCCTATTTAGGTCAATAGATACACAGATACGCTCTTCCTGGTAGCCTATAAGACCATTAATTGGAAATCATTACCAAAACCCAGATTTTTATTCACATATTTACGAATCACAGTAAAACCTGTTCCCAACATCTCTAAATATGAACACCTCACAATATTAATCCGTTTTAGGTTCCATCTTTATCTTTGGTAAGTTGACATATTAAACAAGGCATAAACATGACAAACTGTCACCGCCCGCAAATGGTTATATTGGAAGTTGTGAGAATTTGTTACGGACACAAAAAGCTGACCACCGACACCATCAACAAAAAGTTGGAGACCATAACAAAGTCACCATTTTTTGTGGTGACATAAAAAACGGAGGCCATAACAATATGTCACCACTTTTGGTAGTGAACATTGCTAATCTGAACACTTTTGAGTGAAACAAAATTTTGTTACCATTATCATATAAAAGGAAGTTTAGTCATAAATCATAAGACACGGCAAAGTCTCATAATATATGTGACAACACAAAAACAACAAAGACAGAAAGTTTCACAATGTTGTAGCGAGAATCTAAAATTTGGCAAGGCAAATGTAAATAGGTGAGGCAAATGTAAATAGGTGAGGCAAATGTAAATAGGTGAGGCAAATGTAAATAGGTGAGGCAAATAAAAATAGGTGAGGCAAATGTAAATAGGTGAGGCGAATGTAAATAGGTGAGGCGAATGTAAATAGGTGAGGCAAATGTAAATAGGTGAGGCGAATGTAAATAGGTGAGGCGAATCTAAAAAGGTGAAACAAATTTAGGCTAAATGATACTGTATGTTACTCCATTTGGACTTCATTTCCATGTACAGATTTAGTTGAAAAAATCTGAAAATATGTTTCAATGTAACTTTGATGAGGCAAATGCCTCTCTTGCCTCATGCCTCGCCTCACCTACATCATGCCTGACTGCACTAATGCATAAACAGGTACTTACATGATTTTTGTACACCTTGGGTTAATAGCCCAACACCATTCAGTTGTTCGTATTTCATAAGGCTGCACATAGGCTACAGCTTGAGTTATTGGGAATCTGAAAATACATAAGATAAGATATATAGGTTATTTACTGGGAGGGATTGAATATGGGTTTTATTCCGAGGGACAATATGATATTGACCGAAGGGTAATATGATATTGACCGAGGGAGCGCAGCGACCGAGTGTCAATATCATATAGCCCAAGGTCAATATCATATTTTCCGAGGAATGAAACCCATATTCAATCCCGACCAGATATAACCTATTTATTCCATTATACACCCCTCTTAAATGCTACATTTGGATAATGCAAATAACCGGGAAAAAATAATCGGGAAACCGGAAATAGGTTAAAATGCTCCAATACGATTTTTATCCCGGGGACAATACGATTTTTTCATGTAATACGCTCCAATACGATTTTCTTCCCGGGGACAATACGATTTTTTCATGTAATACGATTCAATACGATTTTTATTCCTTCATATTTCCCTGGGAAAACAGTAGTATTATGGAATAAAGTACTTTATTGTTCCATATCTCCTTCTTGAATATTGGTCATTTACAATAAAGAAACATGCATACACAAAATAAAGGTATAATATATATTTACAATGAGGAAACATGCATACAAAGACACAAAGGGTATTATAAGTAATACTTATGAGCAGTATATATATGAGGTAATCTGAAAATATAAAACAGGGAATGTTAATTTTTACTCCCATTATCTCCTAAAGGAGAGCCGACCTGCTTGATAATATCTCCTTTGAATCAAGTGTTGTTTAATTTTGAAATATTTGTATACAAAAATTTTTTAAATTGTAAGTTTGTCATTGTCAATTTTATGACAGTCTACTGCATATCTCCAAGAAAATGTAACAAAATATAATGATAGGGTCTGTCCAAATTAAGGTTTTTTTTTTTTGGGGGGGGGGGTTGTGTCTCAATAAATGCAAATCAGTATAGGATACTATAGGTCTCTTTAATTTGAAGATCAGTAAACCTTGCCTTAGACAGAGCAACAGTTGCCTTGACGATCATTGAAGTTATCAATAGTAAAAAGCATAGTAGATTGTTATCTTTTAAGATAGATCAGTAAAATTCTGTCAGAGTATACATAAATGTAACGCATGTGTAAGATAGACGATAATTTATCACTCAAACAATTTGGTCAATTAGGGTGAATTCTTTCAAAATGCTGACTAGATATTTTACATTTTACAAACACGGAATAAGTTGGTCCACATCTATTTATTTTTCTTTGCTGAATCCATTTTACCCGTCAATAAAGTTCCAAGTGGTATCCTTTAATGACAAAATAGAGTGATATTGAAAATACTTAGAAGAAAATGATATTTACATAAATTATATCAATGATGCTTAACAATGTAAATAAAAATGCCAATAAATGAATATTATTACGATTATTTATTTCATAAAAATTACGAAAAGCAGTTCAAAAGAAAACAGAATCCGCATGTTGCAAGTCTAGGGTCATCAATTTTACCTGACATTAAAAGCCCAGAATGAGAATCTCTGACAAGTTTGGGACAACTGTTGAAGCAATCAAAAGGTAAGTAACATTACCAAGGTATATACAAACTGTTCAAACATTTAAGTACCCCATACAAGTCAATGTTCTCCACAGGATTTTTTCTGAAGTGGGTTCAAAATTCTCTTTTTCATAATTCAGACGAAAATTGGTCAAAATGCCAATCTTTAAGATTTTTCTCATTTCAAGTGGGTGCAAATGGTTTTTCAGGTGGGTGTAAGCCTGTTTTTGAAATCTCATGTGGGTGAGTTCGCCAACTTGCCTTAATTGCCGGGGGGATCACTGCAAGTTCTTAGGCATACTTTGATGTATAGTCGTAAAATAACAAGCAGGAGTTTGTTCGTAAAATTTTGCATAATATAAATATTTAAACAATTTATGAAACCTGATTCTTTTAACCTTTAGCATGCTACCGGCGAGCATAGTCGCCCGTGCTTAACAATCCCTGGCAACTGCCGGCCACTCCAGTCGAATTTAAACTTTCAAAAATTTAACTTTTTCCCGCCGGTCTTATGATCCAATCAGATTGCCCGATTTATTTAGTCCTTACGTGGGGACTTCCTGTTGACCTAGAAATGGCGATGTTTCGAAAAATATTTCTCAATTCAACGATTTAAACAGTGTTTAAGTCGTTTTTAATGAACAAATCGTACAAAATGGCGGCCAAATACGATCACAACGAACATGTGGAGGAAATGGATTGCGATTTCGAGCTCTTTTGGCTCTTGGAAGCCGATAATCAGTTATGGTCATCGAAAATAGAAACTAGAATATTTTCTGAACTGAAAAATGAACATTCGATCGCTGCAAATTCAGTTTTGGATTCTGACCAGACGTTGAATCTCCACAGGGGCGAAGCGGCGGATTCCGGAGGAGTATTCATGGTATATTTATGCCCAGTCCTGTTTATATATGTAAAAAATTCATGAGAACATTTTTTTCATGAGCCAGGCCAATGTATCTTCTCTTTGTGAAAATTTTATCCAGATTCATTCAGTAGTTATTGAGATATTAATTATTTAGTCCAGGCATATCATTTTTTGCACTCTTTGAAATATAAGTCAGTCGCGTGGGATATATTTGCTGAATTAAGTTAGCATGCAGAAGGTTAATTTCGAGATTGAAGTAATATTGACAATATATGAGTAATTTGAAAATATCTGAAGTTTACCTAACTTCAAATCCTCCTTGAATATTTCTATTATAAAAATGTATACAACAAAAACTTGTGTGGGGTACTATATGATTTATGAGCACATTTTCCAACATTTTGTTCTTGTTTATGAATCATAAAAGATACACATCAGCTGAGTGCGTAACATTCTGGACATGCCCAGGATGTTACGCATTTTGAATAATCATGGTTTGCTTTATGTTATGATTCTTAAGTGAATGTTATGATCTGTTTAAGAGTACTTGAATAGTTGTGGTTTATCTGGTTTAAGAAACTATCAATTATAGTAAAAGCGATTACTACAGTATACACATATTTTCTTCATATATTGTTCAGGTAAGTCTGCTGGTAAAATATGAAAGGAAATAAAGAAGTTTGAAAGACAGACTCATATTTTTATGTTGCCACAAGGGATAATAAAGCTATAACAAACTAAATTGATGTTTCATATAAACCGTACTATACCTACAACACCAGAGAATGAACACCACAGGTATTCAAAATACTCCAGAAGATAAATAGAACAGACCTCTAAAACTCAGGTATAACGAAGCACCAACTAGACAGATGATGAATTATGAAGAAAAGCTGTTCTAGTCCTAGTTGAAAAATGTATCCTATAGTCAAGTTTCTTTCCCAAGAAAATGCAAAAGCAACAAGAATAAGTTGTTCAGAGGCATACTTCCCCACAGGTATTATTAATGTGAATCAAACTTTCCGAAATAGACCCTGATTCATATTTTTACAAATTGGACATTAGACATGATTTTTATATCACATTAAAATTTTGAAAATCATCCTTTTTATGAAAATAATGGTTTAAAATTAAGGTAGTACTTACGATTCAAATCTTCGACAAACATTAGGCATATTTGGGCTAAGTTCTGATGCAACTGTTATACCGACCAGCAGTATCCATAGCAACAACATCATTGAGTTTCCACGGTAACCCATCTTTTTCTTCATATATCCCCCTTTATCACAACTTGTGTCACAAATACATGAAGACCTGAAGATAAAAGTAAAACGATATTTATAATATCACATAATAAAAATGGCAGTGCCTAATTTAAATATTGTTAGAAATCATCTATTCCTTTAACCTCAAAAAACAGTTTTTAAATCACTTAAATTAACTGCTATCTACTCAATACATCTAATGCCGCAATGTCCAGGTAAAGAACTCGAAAATGGCGAAGACAAAACTCATTTGATCCAAATGTGAGAAAAAATAATGAGCTAACAGCAAATTAACGAGGCGACTATTTGTTACATTACGCAATGGTTTCTTGTAATGACGTTCATGAAAGTAGATCCTGAATTTATGTACATGTAAAAATGATACTTGAACAGATAATTAATTTGAATCATTACTGGTATATAGTTTCTTATATCAAATTAAGGCTAATATGGTATTGTTTTATACTTCATATTGACAACTCATTGTCCTTCTTTGAAAATATGAAATGAAAAATCGGGTCAAAAGTATCTCAACTTATTTTCAAATGTATATTTACATTATGATTTATCTTGGCAACTTCTGGTTTCGGAGGTTAATATATACTACAGTGGTCTCCCCATCATTTAAGCAAGTGGGCGCAGCACCCACCTGAGATTTTGAAAATATGCTTGCACCCATCTGAAAATCCATTTGCACCCACTTGAAAGTGAGAAAAATTGGCATGTTTTGACCAATTTTGGTCTGAATTGCGAAAATGAGAATTTTGCACCTACTTGAGAAAAAAATCCTGGGGAGATCACTGAACTAGCCAAATAAAACTTTTAGAAAGGGGCAATATATATCCTTTGTGGAAAAGAAGATGAAAAAAGTAGCAGAATGGTAAATATAAAACCTGTTTACAGTGAACACCTATGAAGCCAAAAAAATGTGTTCACTATATGTAGGTGTTCACTACAGAGAGGCTTCACTACAGTGAACACCTATGAAGCCACAAAAATGTGTTCACTATATGTAGGTGTTCACTACAGAGATTGTAATTTATACAGAAGTCAGTGGAATATATGTGGAGGAAAGATGACAACTAGAGAAAGGTTTCAATAAAAAGAGGTGTTCACTAAGACATGTTTTACTGTACCGTAAAACCTGATAACTCAAGCTGTAATCTAAACACATCTCAATGCGAACACTTATTCCGTCCCGATATAAATTCAGATATATTGAAATTGTATATTTCTCACAGAACGCATGCTCTTTGTAACTAAAAAACTTAAGTCTAAGTAAATTTGGTATGGATTACCCTTTCATATAGTGTCATTTTGCTAAATATCTATACTCTGAGTATTGTACTAGGCTCTGATAATGAGGTACAAACATTTACATAGACCTAAAATATATAAGATACAGTAAAATATGTCATATTGAATGCCAATGAGACGAGCCAAATATGTTTTGATCTCAAGGTTTCAACACGGAACAGGATATTGAAAATAGGACTGGAGAATGTTCACATATAAAAAAATGTTCACATTAGAGAGGTGTTCAGAAAGACAGGTTTTACTGTAATTTTAACAGATATTACAAAATGTATGTATCTTTAAGAAGAGGAAATCTTTCTTGATTACAAGGCAGAAATGATCTGGAATTGGTTATGAACTTCCCATCCAAAAATTGATAAGGAAAACACAACATCTGATAGCAAATTAGTCTTCTTATAATACAAATAACAACTAAAAGATTTAATCTTTGCATAACATAAAGTTTAACCTTTATTCAATTCAATTCAAACCTTGTAAATTCTTACTTCTTTGAATTAATCAAAGAAAAACCTGAGATCTTCTAACATTTCATGGAATGGTAAATCTGTATTTTATCATGTACTATTTAATGAACCATAATCTGATCAAAAATGGTTGAATTATGCAGATATTTATTTTCTGGATGTTCTTCTAATTAAATCATTTGCTTCTGATGGCCAATTAGCCTTATAAATGATTAAAAAGATGGTGATCAGGTAAAAATATGCCATTATATTAGGGTGTTATTATACCTTTGAGGCCAACTTAATGCAATTTCTGAAAAACATACCACTGTTTTTACCTTCGCACGTACCTATAACTATTCTTATTCTGAAGTCCAGAGTCAAACATCACTAACTGCATTTGTATTAAAAACTAAACTGGTTTTGTTATCAAGTATCTACCCGTGATATTTAAGCCTCCTCTTCATCCGTTATGCCCTCTATCCTTTATGCCCCCCCCCCCTATCCTTGACCAACCCCCCCCCCCCTCCATCCTACATCCCCCACACTAATCATTTTTATTACTTATTTTTGAAGTGAGAGACTTTGCCCAGTATTCCACATTTCAAAACACAGTAAAACTTGTATGATCCAAATAAGACATTTCAAGATTTTTTAACATGCAAATCTAAAGCTGATAAAAATGGGATAAAATATATATTAAAGAGATGTTCGGATTAGAGAGGTGTTCAGATATTCAGGTTTTACGAGTATGAGAGACCTAGGCATGGACTTTTCATGTTGAAATTTTTAACATCTGTGTTGCCTGGGTTCTATATCTAGTTGTTATCTAAAAGCTATTAAATAATGATTTGACATAATCATAATTTTATTTATTAAATTGACATAAGTTTTATTTTGAACGTTTTAAAATACACATGTATTTTAGTAAAGGTATTTCAAGTACTTTGGACTAATAAATCATGTAATAAAACTAATATTAATTTTGATAATTATTTTTTCATACCTTAGTGTTCAACTTTTAGTTTAACATTTCGCAATAACAAAAATTGTCACCTCTTTTAAAGATTTATCCTACTAGGAATAATCTAATACCAAATATATCCATTATATATCACAATCCATCCTGTAACTTATAAATTACAACTAAACAAATGAAATATATTATCTACAAATGAAATATATTATCTACAAATGAAATTATAGTATAATCTGGCTAACAATCTCCCCATAGTAAACATTTCACCACAATATTTGTACTAATTACTAACAACAGATAATTTGGTTAATTGTACCCATCATATCAGACTAGTGACACCAATAGCTTAGCGACTAAATAAATAAAATGATAATACACTGCATAATACTCCATTCTAAAACTTAGAATTCGTCACTTACCAACAAATGTCATTTATCAATATCTCAAATATTCGGTCTCTTCATTTTATTCAATCCTAATTCTTATCTTATGAAGTAGCCGTTATTCATATATCAATTGAGGTGTCAAATATTTCGAGCCTCTAAGAGTTAGTACTAACAGAATTAAGAGGCTTATCCAAGCCGGAGTGTGCAATCACTTAAGAGCAGAATCGGCAATAATTCCTATATCTAACAGATTTTGAAGTCTGACATTTGTACATCTTTCTCAAAAATATTTGATTAATAGTGTTTGCCTTTATTTATATCCTATATGATTTTGGGTGTTAACTTGAAGTCCATTCGTGTATTTTTATCAGTTATCATCTTTCCTCTCTGTTTTCACGTGAAAGTGTAAGGTTCTTGAAGGTATTTGCCAATCTCAGGTATTTATCTCAGTTGACCGAAGGCCTCACTTATACACTCAAAACCTCTTTTCAGTTCTCTGGCAGTAGCGCTATTATCAACTAAAATATATCACCCTATTCTTCGGTTTTCTCTAATTTTCTCCCTAGAATTTGATTAAAGTATTTGGTATTCTTACATTTTGATGTTATAGAGAGTGTCAGCTAATATGCTTGTTAATTTTATTCCTTGTTTTTCCTCTCTTTTCTGAGAAATTAAGAGAACAAAAAAAATGACTCCTGTGAAACTCTAGTACTCTTATCATCTGCTGAGTTCATCTAGCATCTTCCTCTTAAAAACTAAACCAGTTCCTTACAATCTCATTTCTGCTAGTTATACAGATTCCTGGCCTTGTGTATCTTAACCTGGCCAGGATTGAGTCTAATGAAGCTCATATTTATCACTAATTAGAACCCAAGCATTTATTGTCCTGGTTACATGCAATTACAGGCTGGCCCCTGAACATGTATAGTGCTCATCATTGAAAACATTTGGAAGGTATGCTAAGAAGCTGAAAATTGCATTTTGCCCATCCCAATAAACTGTGTTGTCTATTTTAATTTAAGACTAGAATATACCTTTTACTACAGTTGTACATATCTTTTGGTATCTCCAGACAGAAAATTTAAATTTCATGTTCATAGAGTTACCAGTATGTGAAAGATACAACATGTTTTGATAAGTCTAATTTTATGGTTTCATTAAATTTTGATTAAAGGCAATTGAGATTAAATTTTGTGTGATTATTAATAAAATATACCTGGCTAGACATTTGCTAGATCTAGCTCACCTTTATTATTACCTTTAGATTATTATAAATGAAAAATTAAGATAGATAATCTGATTAATTTTGCAGGAAAAGATACATGCAGATTTAAAGTAGAGTCTGTTAATAAGAAACAAGGCATTGAAAAATGATACATTGTCGCCATGTGTTATTGCTACAATGTTGTAACAACTTGTCACAGAATCCAACTGCTGATGATTGTGACAATAAACACTGATGCCAGTAACAAAGAATGAGGACTGTAACAATATGTCACAACATCTTGGTGTTGACTTGAAAAGTAAATAACTGCTATGGAAACCCAGAAAAACAAACCCTATAGCAAAACGATTTAGACTATTAACCCAGAGGGAAAACCTTAAAAGTCTGCTCAAGCTATCATATATATTTTTTATTTCAATATTAGCTGCATTCAAAAATATTTTCATGAAATTATTTGGAGGCAATACAACATGGTGGAGTGGTATAATTAGAAATTAGTAATTTAGTAATAGAAGATTGACTTCTGAAACACTGAGAAAGCCCCTGCCTACAATATTCTTCAAATGTTGAAAACATTTAATTAACTATGGAGTCAAAATATATCTGTGAAGAACTCGAAGTTAAACAAAAGTTTACAGCCATAAAGACCTACTTTATTACATCCATTTCCTTAATAATAACATTCCGAAACAAAATTGA